TAGATTATGATTTAACGAATCGAATTTCTATCTTTATCTTTTACGATTTGAGATATATTGATGAAAAATAAGAGATTAATAATTGTTGAAAATTATATAATTAGAAAATTAATAGAGAAAAAATATTAAAAATAAATAATTATAGAGGAGTAGGATTCTTCACGGGTTAGTTTCAATTTTGATAATTGTTAAAAATTAGGCAGTGAATATTTGCAATCCTAAAATTTCTAAAGGGAAGACCAAATCAAGTTTTCCAACAATACTATGACTTGAAACTACAATAATACCCTTACTCTATAAAAAATCTAAAAAAAAAGAAAAAAACAAAAAAAAAACAATTATATTACAAGACCATTAGAAACCCACAAAAATCATCTCCCTCGTAAACATTCCGGCAGCACTAGCTGCAGGTTGAGTTGCCTTTTCCGGCGGCACTGGCAGGAGATATGGGATGAAGATCGATGAGGAGGAGAAGTGGATAACGACTGCGTGCTGAGGGTGAGCAGCGAGCAGAGGACAGCAGAAAGGTAGTAGAATTTTGGCTGCCGGCGAAATTGAGCGGCGGGTGGCAGAAAAAAGATGCTGAATCTGGGGAACATGTCTTCCACAAGCTGTTTTTGGTGCTTCCTCTCCCTCTTCTTCCATCTCCTCTTCCTAATTTGATCCCCTCCCTCCGTCTGCCCTACCGGAAAAAGCCGCTACCTCCACACACGCAATTCCACCTCCAAATTGACGCTGTAATGTCGAAATTTACTTCATTTTTCGACACATAAATGTCAAATTTTCCCCTTAAATTCGACACCTCCCTGTTATGTCGAAATTTTTGAAAAGTATCGACAAATATATCTCGAATTTTCTGCAATATTTCGACACTTGTGTGTCGAATTAAAAATCGACAGTTGTGAGCGGCGATGGAGGACTTTTTTTCGACGGCAATAGAAGACATCTTATACGGCGGCGATGGAGGACTTATTTTCCGGCGGTGGAGGCGGCGACGCAAGCTTTGTCGGTGTGTGGGCGAGATTCCGGTGAGACTTGAAGCTTGAAGTCATATCCTCGAATGTGTCGTCTGGTTGTGGTCTTGCATGAGAGGAATTGGATTTTAAGTCTTCCTTTAATAATTTGAGTTGGAAGGTAATTTTGGTATTTGATTAGATTGGTCTTTCTCTTAGCATTTTTCCGATTGCAAATAGCCGCCCCCTAAAAATTATAGTTAGAGTATAGAAAAAATATTAAAAATAAATAATTACAGAAATACCATTAGAGTTTATTAGGGTTGACCATCTTTTATTTCTCTTATATATAAGATTAATAAAATTACGAAACAATCCCTAATATTTGGATAATTACTAACACTCCTCTAAACTATGGATCTTCTTATATATCCACCCTTATAGTGTCAAATTTAATAGAATGTTGTCAATTATATGCAATAAATTATATCCATTTAAATCAAATATAATACAATCCAAATCTCAGCCTGAAATTCAATCACAAAACCGATTTTCAAATGTCTCTTTTATGTTCGTCTCCTCCATTCATCTCCTTCCATTGCCGGCGATTCCGACTCAGCGTCAAGTCGGTGACGGCGGCCGCTGCCACATGATCAAGCTCAGCGCTTCCTCTAAACTTCGGTGTTCCTCAGCTATGGTCATTGACGAGGGCTGCACTTCTTCCTCTTCTGATCTTCAGGTTTTCTCCCCATCCATTAATTTCAGCCTTTTGTTGTGCAATGTATATATATATATATATATATATATATATCTATATCTATATATACATACT